TTCTCACAACACTCAAGAATCCCAGTATTTTTATTTACAAAAAAAATATTCTTCTGTTTAACATCACATTTAATGTTTTACTTATTCAGCAAGACCCCCTGAATGTCCAATTTCCAGCATTGTTTAAAGAATCCAGCATTGTTTAAAGAACAGCATCTAAAAGAAACATTTTTCTGTAATTGTATTCTAAGACAACATTTGTTTATTTGTATACATACCTTTCAGCTTTGATTCCATCAGTTTTTACTAATATAATAATTACACATCAACTACAAATTTCCATATTATTTTATAAATCAAACACTCCAAAATAGGTCAATTTTGTTGCCAAATATAAATTAAAATTACTGACAAGACAACAGTGACAACTGAGAGCCACAAGAAGTTAGTCACATATCTTTTATCATGATATAAAAGATTTGAGGTTAGCCGGGTAGACTGTAATGCTTACATCGAATCGTGACAAACCAACTATAGACCATAGATATAGTACTAGATATTAGATCTGCTAAGCAAACATATAGTAGAACAGCCTAGCGCCCTCATTGCTGTCTGACACGAACTAAAATTTAATAGGCCTCATTCTTTTACGTTTAAGTTATAGGTTTACATTTTTCTAGCTGGAATGACGATATGGAAGAAAATATAACTTTTCAAATAGGTTTTTCTACACAGGATGACGAGGTTTCTAAGAAAATTGCGTTAAAGCTCGAACAGTCGAGAGTATTCTGCATATTTCAGAAATTTATTGGTTGCAATATTTTTATGAAAGATCTTATATTGTACAACTGTAGAAGCATTTTGCAAATTTATGTGTTTCATAAAAATGAAACAGGCGGACAATGATTTTTTTCTCATTTCACTACCTACTATCCTACAATATTTATTGAAATCCCTTGATGAAAATTTATATAGTTACTAACCAGACGCTTTCTTTGAAAATCCATATACTGGATGTTCTACATAAAATGACCCAGGTCAGAATTATCGGTCCAGAAGCTTCTGTATATTTCAGAAATTTATTGATGGCGATATTTTTATGAAAAATCTTATATTGTAGAACGCAGAAGCATTTTAAAAATTTATATACTGAGTGTTTCATATAAAAATGAAACAGGCGGACTAGGATTTTTTCTCATTTCACTACTCACTTTCCTACATTATTTATTGAAATCTCTTGATGAAAATTTATATAGTTACTAACCAGACGTTTTCTTTGAAAATCCATATACTGGATGTTCTACATAAATTGACCCAGGTCAGATTTATCGGTCCAGAGGCTTCTGTATATTTTAGAAATTTATTGATGGCAATATTTTTATGACAAATCATATCTTATTAACCAGATATTTTGTACTGGATATTTCATAAAGCTGACCACAGGTGGACTAAGCTCTCTATTCTTTTTACTTTTTTCTTTCTCCACTGAAACGTTTTGAAGAAAACTGACCATTCGCTTTTTGAAAAATCCGTATACTGAATGTTCTATAAAATTGAGCCAGGTCTGATTAACAGGCAAAATTTTCCTTTCTCTTTTAACTCTATTTTTACTTACTAAAGGCATTTAATGAAAAATTGTATAATTACTAACCACATACCTTTTTGGAAGTTTATACTGGATATTCCAAAAAATTATACACTTCAAAATTATGAGAAAGTGAAACTTATTTTTTTCCCATTTCTGCCTTACCTACGTACTGAAATCTTTGAATTGTAACGAACATGTTTTATTTTTGATTTTATTATGTCTGAATTTAAAAATATTTCTTTTTATTTCGGATTATTTTACCCCGGCGGCGAAAATTATTGATTTATATATATATATATCAAATATCCGCTCGCGGGTCCGACCGGCCGTTACCCCACTCTGGCAAGTGGAGGTCCCACCACGACTTGTGTCCATCCGGTGGGGATTTGGGCAACAAAAGCCCTCGACATTCCCCGAAACCGGCAGTTCATATCCAGAACTCAATACCGATCAGACGTCCACCGCCAGCAAGTACTCTCCACCGAAGCCAGCCCGGAATAACCAGTGAACCAAGTAAGAATTATTTTCCTTTATTATTATCCGATCCAACCGGGTACAAGTCCGAAAATATTTGTACGCTTTAAGTGTGGAATTACTGTGGGCGCGAGAAGAATATTCTTGGTAACCCGCACACAAATTCCGCCGTCCGTCTCAACCCGCACGACAGAGCAATCGTTGGATTCGGAGTATATACCCAATCTTGACGAAGCCTGCGTGTTTACTACAGCGTTGCTTGGTGTCCCGCACCCTGATGTACGCTGAGTAATAGGGGATATGTGAACTAAGACCTATAGGTTCGGCGTGTACACCCAATCTCCGGGTCGTTCCATATAGTATACGTACGTTTCTCCCAGGTCGGCGTGTATGCCCATCAGACCGAGAAGCGTTGTATACTGAGAGTCCGACAACATCGGTCACCAGGACGTATAAAACTTAGAGGCCAGTACGAATTGTAAGGCGAGATACTTCGGATCCCGTTTCACCATCCTATTTTTCCGCCTTGCACCGCCTGGGCTTTCTTCGCTGGTTATTGCTACCGCTTACCGCTACCGCTTACTAATTTTGCATTGCTTGCTAGGCCGTAATACCGATATTTAACCGCCGACCTGTTTAAAATAACTCCGAAATAATTCCGAATAAACTTTGATTTATTTTCAGAATCAGCGGGGACCAGTAAAAACGTCTACAAATAATTTACTATCTTTTTATCAGACCGTTTAAAATCACCTTTTTCTTTGTTACTTAAAAACCGTCTACTANCGCCGACCTGTTTAAAATAACTCCGAAATAATTCCGAATAAATTTTGATTTATTTTCAGAATCAGCGGGGACCAGTAAAAACGTCTACAAATAATTTACTATCTTTTTATCAGACCGTTTAAAATCACCTTTTTCTTTGTTACTTAAAAACCGTCTACTAATGTAGAGTAATAAATATTTTATTTTTGATTCCGTTCGTAAATATTTATTTCTTTTCTAAGGTGATAAATAAAATTGTAAAAACCAAAAATCGCAACTTTTTAGTTTTGTTTCTCTAGCACCGATCTTGTATATAAGTTATTGTTTAATAAACTTGTAAATAGTTTCTTAAATTATCATCATTTTGCATGTCTATTAATTCCAGCTACATTAATTCCGGCGCATTTTCGGGTGAAATGTTGAAAGGAATGCTGAAAATGTCCAATAGAAGTTTAACTTTTTTGAAGTCTACAAAACGATTTTCAAAAGCTTGTATCAAAATATCAATTTTTTCAACATGAGCGAAATTGACGTCAGTTTTATTGAACTTCTCCATAATTTTTTTGTAGTTCGGAAAATGGCCGTAATTGGCTGAATTGATTTGTGTCCTGAAAAGACTCAATTTGCATTGAAAGGACGAAACATGAGAGTATAGCTGCGAAATCAATTGATCTTTGCCTTGGAGTCGCGTATTTAAGACATTCAAGTGATTTGTGATGTCTACAAGAAACGCTAAGTCACACAGCCAATCAGGGTTGTCGAGTTCGGGGACGTCGTTTTTCTTTTCCGCCAGAAATAGTTGGATTTCTTCAATCAAGTTAAGAAATCGCTGTAGTGTCAACCCACGACTTAGCCACCTTACTTCAGTGTAAAACAGGAGATCACCATATTCGCTTTCAATATCCTCGAGAAATTGTTTGAATTGTCGGTGATTGAGACCTCGTGATTTTATAAAGTTTACGGTAGGTACTACAACTTTCATAACATTTTCAAATCCCAATAATTTTGAACAGAGGGCCTCTTGATGTATAATACAATGAAACTGCATTAATTCCTTGGTATTTATGTTTTTAGTTTGTAAATATGTTTTTAACAGAGTTACTATCCCAGATGTACTTCCAACCATTGAAGGTGCTCCGTCAGTTGTAATTCCAGATATTTTCGTTAAATCCAAATCCATTATAGAACATTTTTCTAGAAGAGCTTTGAGCATGTCACTTCCCCTGGTTTGACTTGTCAAAGAACTCATACCAATCAGTTCTTCACTCACTTCAAAATTTTGCGTTACACCTCGTAAAAATATTAATAGTTGAGCAGTTGAACTTATATCTGTAGATTCGTCGAGCGCTATAGAAAAATACTCAAAACTTCTCGATTTCGTAGCTAATTGCTCTTCTATATTATCTGCTAATGCGGTAATTCTTCTTTGAACAGTCATCCGATTTAACTGAATTTTTTCAAACTTCTTTACATTTTCCGGACAAATTTTTTTTGCGGCGATATCCAAACATTGCTTAACAAACTCACCATCTTTAAAAGGCCGACAAGTTTTCGCTATTATTCGAGATATTTCAAAGCTAACTTCAGTGGCTGTTTCAGCATCTTGAATTGGTTTTGTAAACATAGATTGCTGGCCTATTAGTTCCCGTTGTAAAGTGGAAATTCTTTGCGTTCGATTTTCGCCAGTTAATTTGGTAAAAGTTGGATGCTGGGTTTCATAGTGCCTTTTCACATTATATTCCTTCGGAATAGAAACACTACTCTTGCATATTAAACAGACAATTTTGTTATGCGATGAAATAAAAAAGTATTTTTCGGTCCAAATATCATGAAACTGTCGATTTTCATCTTCAACCTTACGACTACGTTTCTTACTGGGGCCTGGTTTATCCATATCAAAATTAATATTATATGTTACAGTCGGTAAAAGCCAAGTTCGAACGACGAAATATTTACTCGTCACAGATTACAGTTCTCAAACAGTATAACGTTCGCTTATCCGTAGTCAAAACTTAACTGCCCCGGTAGCCGGCGATGCGTCGTATTTATACGAGTTACCAAACATCGAGAACCATCTACTTTGTTCGGGGATCGACGTGTTTCGCGAATCTGTAATCTAGTTGATGCGACAGATTTCTAGTCTCGTAATAATATGCTTGGACCGGAGCGCGGCGAGTAGAATACCTTTAAAATTCGTTGGCGGGCCGCATAAACATCGACAGCGGGCCGCGGTATGTGCATCCCTGGCGTAGATGATGACAATGTAGATGATGGTGACGTAGATGATGGTGGCGTAGATGATGGCAATGTAGATGATGGCGATGTAGATGATGGTGGTGTAGATGATGGTGATGTACATGATGGTGATATAGGTGTTGCTGTAGTAGATGATGGTAATGTAGATAATGGCGATGTAAATGATGGTCAGGTAGATGACGGTCATGTAGATTATGGTGATGTGGATGGTGGCGATGTAAATGATGGTGATGTATATGGTGCTGATGAAGATGATGCCGATGTAGGTGATGGTGATGTAGATGATGGCGATGTAGATGATGTAGATGCTGGCGATGTAGATGATGGTTATGTAGACCATGGCCATGTAGATGTAGATGATGTAGATGATGGTGCTGTAGATAATGGTGACGTAGATGTTGTAGATGATGGCGATATAGATGTAGATGATGGTGATGTAGATGATGGTACTGTAAATTATGGTGATGTAGATGATGGAGCTGTAAATTATGGTGATATAGATGATGACGCTGTAGATGATGGCGATGTAGATGATGGTGATGTAGATCATGGCGATATAGATGACAGTGATGTAGATGATGACGATGTAGATGTTGATGATGGAGATGTAGATGATGGTGATGTAGATAATAGCGATGTAGATTATGGTGATGTTGATGATGACGATGTAAATGATGGTAATGTAGATGACGGTGCTGTAGATGATGGTGCTGCAATTATGGTGATGTAGATGATACTGATGTAGATGAAAGCGATGTAGATGATGGCGATGTAGATGATAGTGCTGAAGATTATGTTATGTAGATGGTAATGTAGATGATGGCGATGTGGATGGTAGTGATGTAAATGATGGCGATGTAGATGATGGTGATGTAGATGATGGTGATGTAGATGATGGTGATGTAGATGATAATGCTGTAGATCATGGTGATGTAGATGATGGTTATGTGGGTGATGGTGTGATGATTTAAAAAACATTCGCGCAAGAGAGTGCTCCGCGAACGTTTTTAGTCAATATATATTAAAATCTGATAGCTCCGTCTGCGTCGCACGATCGCCCCGAAAAAGAGCCAATTTGCAGACTCGAAGGCTTTCCGGGGGAGCCGCGCAGCGGCGACTCGCGGGGGGCAAAGCCCCCCGCCGGTCTTTCTTCGTCCGAACGTCGTATTTTGATGGCGATTTTTTGCCGTCTTCGCGGTGAATTTTGAGTTTTCTTCAAGCTCTGCGAGGGGCGCGGCCCAATTTTTGTGTGAAACGCAATAGTCCGACACGCCCTCCCGCTGAAATCTGACGGTCGCCGATCGCCTCGAATTGCGCCCGGGTACGGCTTTTTTATTTTTTATTTCCCCTATTTTCTACGATATTTTATTTAAAACTGTGCCGAAAATACTCATATTTATCGACCGGGTGGCTTCTTCCAACTTTTTATGTAGAACTTTCCGCGCATTCGAAATGCGGCCGTAAATACGTTAAAATGCACTGTCTAGGAAGACCGAAAAATGTGAATTTTGCCCTATAAAATTCCTTCTCCGCTAGCCTCGAAACGGCGTGCGACTTGGCATAGATACTCAGTCGTTCCTCCTTAGTCGTTCGGAGGCATTTTTGTAACGTTTTTCTCGCGTTTTCATATATAATTTTGCCTTCTCTTTGGGGTCTGCTCGGCGACAGACAACCATTTCGCAAGCCGTAAGATTGAAGCTTTAAGACGCGCCCACTCGGAGAAAATTCGAATGTCGTTAGAAACGTCGGATTAATTATGTCAAAATAATTTCACGCCAAACGCGAAAGACGTCTGTGGGGTCGCGGTGAACCGTTATTTTACCTTAGTAGGCCTTTTTTTAAACCTTAACACATTGCTACGCCACGACATATACAGGTATTTCTTATTATTAGGTTAGGTTGTTATTTACATTTTCGCAGCTCGACCGTTTGACATGCTTACGATTACGATACCTGTCCCCCGAATTAACGTAAGTACTTGCCCTCTAAAACTGCATAATTTTAAACCGATCCATAGTACCTAAACGTCAAAAGTTAAGAATCAGTAGAAATAAGTTGGAGTTAAAGACTCTTTCAAGGCATAGGATGTCGTTATTTATCTGTGTTATCTCATTGTGGATCTTATGCGAGACGACTTTGTGTTAGAAAAATGCAAATTTAACATTACAAAAATTGTTGATTCCTTCAGCTGCGAATGACAGTTAAAATATCAGTACAGACGGATTGTGCACGAAGCAGTCGACAGCACACCGGTAAAAAATGCCCCGTTGTATTCGTAAGGTCGTTGGTTCGATTTCAGACGAGGTATCTAAGATTTTATTTTTTTATTTACTGCCGTAATTTAATTTTATATATGGATTCATCTTTTTAAACCTTTCTATAACGAAAAAATATAAAATTTCAAATAGGTTTCTATATACAGGGCGTCTAAAAAGGTGCGTTGAAACTCGAACGGTCCAGAGGCTCCTATATATTTTAGTTTATTGATTGCAATATTTTTATGAAAAATCTGATATCGTAGTAATCATATATGCTTTCTAGAAAGGTTTGTACCGAATGTTTCATAAAAATGAAACAGGTGAACTTTGATTTTACTTATCTTTTCACTTTTCCAAATTTTTTATTGAAATCTTTTCATGAAAAGTTATATAGTTACTAACCAAAGGGTTTTTTTGAAAATCCATTTACTGCATGTTCTACATAACTGATCCAAGTCAAAATTATCGGTCTAGAGACTTCTGTATATTTCAGAAATTTATTGTCGCAATATTTTTATAAAAAATCTTATATTGTAGAACTCAGAGTCATTTTGCAAATTTATATACTGAGTGTTTCATAAAAATGACACAGGCGGACTAGGATTTTTTTTTCATTTCACTACCTACCTAAATTTTCAAATAGATATTTCTACACACGGTGTCAAATGTTTTTTGCAATTTATGTACAGGATGTTTCATAAAACTGACACAAATGGACAAGATTTTCTCTGATTCATTTTGTTAATTTTTTCATGAAATCTTTTGAAGTTGTATATTTACTGACCAGCCGCTTTTTAGAAAATCCATATATGTATTGGGTGTTCCATAAAATTAATCCACATCTGAAACGGGCAATTTCTTTCCTTTTCACTTTTAACTTTGTCTTTATTTACTTACTAAAGTCTTTTAATGAAAAATTGTATACTTATTAACCAGTCTTTTTGAATTTTTATACTGAGTATTTATTACCAATAAAACGAAACTTTCCTTAATATTTTTTCCTTCTATATTTTGTACTGAAGTCTGTAATATTTTTATGAAAAACCTTATACCCTACTAACCAGGTGTTTCTTGCAATTTTTGTACAGGATGTTCCATAAAACTGACACAGGTGTAGCAGATTTTCCCTTATTCATTTTGTTAATTATTTCTATAAATCTTTTGAAGAAAAGTCGCTTTTTTAAAAATCCATATACTAGATGTTCTATAGAATTAAGGGCAGTTTCATTTCTTTTCACTTTTAGCTTTGTCTTTATTTACTAGTATTTTAATGAAAATTTGTATATTTATCAAGCAAATGTCTTAATTTATTTTTTTTACCATTTCTACCTTACCTACGTAGTCTTTGGAGAAAAATTTTATATTTACTAACCAGATGACTTTTTGGAAGTTTGGAAGAAACTTTTCTTATTCTTTTCTCGAGCGGAGCCTACTCTTTTTTGAAAAACATTCTCCTCATACTTTTATATACAGGGTGTTTAAAAATCAAAGTACAGGGTGTTTCAAAAAATGTTGTATCTACTAACCAGCGAGGAAAGCACTGCGGAGCGGTGATCGGGCCGCGCGTAGCACGGCCCGAGGGCCGAAGGCCCGAAGGAAAGGTCAAACTCCGCGTCAGCGGAGTTTGCCTGCCTTTCTAGTTAATTAATTAAATGTGGAATGTTGCTTTGTGTGTTTAGACAATAAATTATAATTTGATTCTCTATTTTTTTGTGTGATGTGTTGCAAACTTGATACAATTTTCTGCTAGAAGTCACTACTGAGATAAGTCTCAAAGCTCTACGACTATATAAAAATAAAATCTAAATTTCTCAAAAACCAAAATTTCAAAATTAATATTACAATTTTTGTTTTATTTTGGCGCCCAATCAATTTCATTACCATTACCATTCATTCATTTCATTTTAATCCAAATCAAACCAAAATAAAACAAGTCATTTATAACAATATATATTTTAGAATGTACAGTATTATGTAATGTGGAAATAAAAGTGAAGCTAATGTTATATGTACACAGGGTGTCCCGAAATTCATGCAACAAAATTCAGCCCCCTGAAGTCCGTCCCTAAGAATAATCTTTATATATATATACAGTGCGTCCCAGAAGTAACGCAAAAAATTCATATTTCATTTTGTGTTGAGTTTTCACAAAAACGCTAAAACGTCAATTAGTAAATTAGAATTGTCGTTTTGTCACGTTGCTTAAATCTTTTTTGCGCTATGTTTCATAAACCTATGACGTCATCTACATTTTTTTTAAATAGCACCACCTAATTTTTTAAGCATAAATGGATAGTCCTTTTGAAGGGAAATACGTCGATATAGACCTACTTTACTTTGACAGGAGCGGAAAAAAAGCCAATGACTGGAATGGACATGGTTTAAAATAACAACAAAAGTAGGTATCATAAACTGAGTAGGTATCATTCAGTTCTTTGTTTCTCGTTTAAACACAACACCATCGTTATGTAAAGTTATGGTATTTGTAACTGTGACAATGATATGAGGCACTATTGCATTCGCTAACTGTCGTCTTCAGAACAATGCCTACATAGCCACTGTGATCGGGTGTACCTACCCAATCTACATAAAAATATGTGCCAACAATCAACCAAAACAGATTTTTTGCTATAGCACTGTTCGCGCATAAGTTTGTGATACCTATTTTTGTTATTAATTCAAACCATGTTCATTCCAATCGTTGGCTTTTTTCGCTCCTGTCAAACTAAAGTAGGCCAAACCCTATATCGACGCATTTCCCTTCAAAAGGGCTATCCATTTATGCTTAAAAAATTAGGTGGTGCTATTTAAAAAAAATGTCGATGACGTCATAGGCTTATGAAACATAGCGCAAAAAAGGTTTAAGCAACGTGACAAGACGACAATTCTAATTTACTAATTGACGTGTTTTAGCGTTTTTGTGAAAACTCAACACAAAATAAAATATGAATTTTTTGCGTTACTTCTGGGACGCACTGTATATATATATATATATATATTTATTTTCTTGCGAATTGGGTTCTGGTGTGATAGTCGGTTAAAAAAAAGGATAAAAAACAGCAGCGAATTCTTTCTTGACGTTTCGTTCCCGATCAGGAACTTTCTCAAAAGGCTTTTATTATTAAAATTGTTATAATTAATAAAATTAAAACCTAAACAACAACCATTTTACGTCAAAATTTTAAAAATATGCATCAACATGCATCAGAAAAATTATGACCAAATGCTAATGTCTCCTGTATTTCATGAGGTATAAAAGTGTCGGATAAATTTTGAAACCAATGAGCACAATTTTTATTAATATTATTATAATTGTTTGCATTATTATTATTATTACCAGCATTCACCAATCTGTTGAACTTTTTAATATTTTTAATTTTGATTTTTTGAAAAAGTCTTATCATATTTATTATTTTCAAAATCTAAAAAGTTTATAATAACATTATTAGGTAAAAAAGATTTAGCCTTTGTAATTTGTTTCTCTAAAATACGTTCATGATAGCGAATGCATTTTGTTGTTTCACTTAATACTATGTTTAAAAGTTT